ATATAGACTGAAAAGTTTGTGGAATTGACGGTGCAATCCCCAGCAATGCTGAAAGTAAAACCACAAGGTTTTGAGGAGGCAACCAAGAAAAAAATGTAACCACAGGGAACAGGTAAGAACATGCATGCTTAAAAATAAACGGTCAAAAGCTTTTGGAAATTGTAAGAATTTCTTTGAAGCGGTGTGTGCGTGTTTTCGTGCTTTAGTGTGACAGGCAGCTTGTAGGGGTCTAGCGAGCCAGGCTGCCTGTGTTTCATACCCTCATTCCGTCTGATTGCCAAGACGACCCCATTAATCAGCAAAGCTGGCACGAAGCAGGGTTTCCAGCACAGTCTGAGACTAATGCACACACAAATATACACATAACAAATGGACACGCACGCGTTCAAATAATAGTTAAAGAAAGAGGGGGAAATCTTGAGGTATAAAATTGTGCAAATTAACGGTGGAGCATGTGAGAGGAAAGGAAGAATCAAAGGAGAAAGTTCTACAAATTAAGATCATTGAACTGTGACCTTATGAAAATAAATTATTTTTATAAGGTCTATAATGATCAGACAGACAAAAGCCTTTAAATAGATTAATCTTTAGTTGAAACGGATATCTTGGAAATTAATATCAGGGTAACAGGTGGCAAGGTCTAATCTCCAGCAGCCTATGGGCGAAAGGTGAGCTAAACCCTGGACAGGTTGCCAGTTCATCCCAGGGAAACACAGAGACATACAACCATGCCCACACATATAAGGGAAATTAAGAGTCAAATTTATGTCATTACATTTAGTAATTAGATAAAAACAAAAATAGTAAAGAAAATTGAAATCAGAGTTAACTCTTCAATTTTTTGTTTACATCCATCCATCCATCCGTTATCTGACATGCTTGTCCCAATTGGGGTCGCGAGGGGTGCTGGTGCCTATCTCCAGCTGTCAATGGGCGAGAGGTGGGGTACACCCTGGACAGGTCGCCAGTCCATTGCAGTTTTTGTTTACAACTTAGTTTTAAGATTAAAATTTTTTTAAGGAACTTCTAACTGTTGACGTTTTGTCTCATAAAGTTTAAATGTGACACAGCTTTATGAAACAAATGTCACAGCTCATTAAAAAATTTTTCACATAAATGGAAAAAGTTCACATAAATCCTTTTTTTTTATTGTTGATTATTTGTTACATTAGCATGAATCAAATTTATAATTACAGTAGTCATTATTTCTTTGATTCGAAAGATATTTAAGTGATCTTTATATATGATGATTTGTCAAAGGCAGAATTAAGCCTTTTATTTATACAAATATTTACAGAAACAGAGGCATACATTAAATATGCAAAAATTAAAAGTCTTCTTTAAGTTAACAGTATCATTAAAATAAGCGACTTGCTAATCAAAATATGGCCACACTAACTAGGCTAAAAATTAAGTTGAACATTAGCTACAATCATCTTATTAACATTTTATCAGATTTATCAAGTGGGTTTGTTCCTTTAGCCGATTCATTACACAGCTAAAACATATAACCGATTGAGCCCAGCCGAGTACACAAATGTTGTGTGAGCAAGGAGCAGTTTTAGCGTGCCACCGGGACTGAGCGCAAGTACAGAGAAGGAGCTAAACGTGTGCAGAAAACAGTAATGCTTATGCATATTTTGCAAAAAGGAGTTTGTCAGAGTTGAGCACAGACCAGAAACATATTGAGGGAACATGTGTGAGATTTAAATGGCTGGGAGTCCTCTCACTGTTCTTCTCAGTACTCCGTAGTAAATATTTT